TTTTTAATTCACTATCATTTTCTGTCTCACTCTTCACTTGTTCGGCACTTACTGGCACTTCATCAAGCATTATGTTTAATACATATTTAATTGACTCTTCAACTAATAATGAGTCCTCATCACTACAATCTTCATCACTACAATTTTCACTTTTTGAAACTAATGCAATCACTTTATCTTCCGATTCACTTTTTTCACTTATCAATCTTGACAATGTGTCAGCCATACCCATATGGTTGGTACTTACAAATTCGATTTTAAAATCATAATTTGTCAATAATAATGCCCATCTTTGTAATCTTGATGCAGAGAACACTTTGATTCCTTTATTCTTGCCAAAAATGGCCAATAACGGTTTATGATCCGTTCTCAATATGAACTTTCGGCCGAATAGCATTTTATGAAACTTTTGCACTGCAAACACTAATGCTAGGCCCTCTTTTTCAATTTGACTATAATTCTTCTCTGCATCATTCAATGACTTACTCGCGTACTCAATCACTTTTTCCTTTCCATTTGGAAATTTATGTGATATCACTGCCCCCACTCCATAATTCGATGCATCCGCTGTCACTATAATTTCTAATTCCGGATCGAAATGCGTTAGCATTAGATCAGAATTTAGCACTTTTTTAACACTTTGGAAGGCCTGTTCCTGATCTTGGCCCCACTCCCACTTCACTTCTTTTTTAAGCAATTTATCCAATGGCCCTCTATATTTATGCATTTCACTAACAAACCGCCCATAATAATTAATTGTACCCATAAAAGATTTCAATTCTTTAACATCTCTTGGACGTGTCAATTCACTAATTTTCTTTTTCTTTTCAGGGTCGGGCTCAATTCCACTTTTGGATACAATATGGCCTAAGAACTTCAATTTTTCCTTAAAGAAATTACACTTTTCTAACTGGATTTTTAATCCCCACTTTTCAATTCGATCAAATATTTCAAACAATTGCACTTTATGATCTTCAATATTAGACACTATTATTAAATCATCTAGATATGCAAACACTCCAGGAATTCCACTTATCAATTTATCCATTAATCTCTGAAATATTCCTGGTGCTGATTTCACTCCAAACGGCAATCTTTGCACTTCAAACAATCCTTTGTGTGTATTAATACACGCCACTTTTTTAGATTGCTCGTCTAACTCAATTTGTAAATAGGCATCTCTGAGATCCAATTGCGAAAACACTTTACTTCCATGGATCTCAGCCCATATTTCACTAGGCTTTGGCAAAGGATGCCTATCCAATTCAATTGCATTATTCAACCCGGTTGAATAATCCATACACACTCTTGTTTTGCCATTTGCCTTTTTAATAGCTAAAATGGGCGCTGCCCAGTTAGCAAATTCAATTGGCTTAATAGCTCCAATTTCACTCAATCTGTTTAACTCTTTTTCAATTGCGTCTTTAACGCCAATAGGTACTGGTCTAGCCCGTACAAATACTGGACTCACTCCTGGCTTCATATACAAATGAGCCTTCATTTTTGTACAATGGCCTAAGCCTGGCTCAAACACTTTCTTAAACTGCACTGACAATTTGTTTACTATTTCACTAATTTTACTTTGTGCCTTTTCAATTTCTAACACTTTAACAGGCTCTTCACTCTTTTTAATACTAGACACTATTGGATATCCCAATTTATTCTCAACTTCAATTATCCATGGTAGGCCAAACAAATTCAATTTTTCACTTGTGACGTGTGTCACCAATACTTGTTTACTATCGTCTACTTCGACACTCGCCAAAAAACTGCCCAACATACTAAACTCGTTTCCTGTGAAACTTCTACCCTTGCAGGGCACTCCAGTGAGCTTTGGGCTACCAATATTCTTCCATGTCACTTCACTTATACAACTGATTTGAGCCCCTGAATCCAAAATGAATTCCACTTCGTTTCCGTTCACTAACACTTTTTTTGTTAACCATTTAGGTTTCACACTCATACTCACATGGAGAATATCAACACTGTTCTTTACATTACACTCATGGTTCTCCCACCATGTTTTTACTTTACTAATTAGGGCCATTTTTCTTTATGTAGCTGTTGCCGAACTTTTCTTTTGTAGCTGTTGCCGAACTTTCCTTTATCGAAGTAGACGAAACTGGTTTGCGACCGCGCCAAATCTGTTACGACCCCGCTTACGTAGAGAAGCTAACAGAAACGTTTATTGCACAAAGAAATACAAAGCAGGCGAAGGTTGGGGTAGGAAGAAGAACTAAAACTGAGACTCAGAACTAACTATTGGCTGGGCTTTTATACTAAACACTTTAAGGGCTGACGCCCATACACAACAGTTATCGGGGTTTTACATACCCAAAAAATGCCATTTTTGGGAGAATTTTAAGAGAAAAATTAAAAAAATTTCTTCCCAATTTACATTGCTTTTATTATTTTTGAAAGAAAAATGAATGAAATATCAAAATTCTCTTTCCTGCTGTGTTAAGAGACTTGTGGTTGAGTGGCTTAGTTGTTGGTTTTAGCCTATATTTCCATTAATTTAGTATTGGGTTCGGATCCAAATAAGCTGAACTCGTTTGTTTTTGGATTTTTCTTTACAAAATGAAGAGTTTAATTTTAATTTTAAATGTTAATCTTATTTTTAAATATTATCAACCATAAAAAACAATGCAAAGATTTTTGTTCATTGTTAAAATTTCAAAAATTTTCATGTGCGGCGCTAAAAAAAGATTAAATTTGGCTTCGTTGCCTTCCAAATTCTCAAAATATTTGACCTCAAATCCCTCACCTCAAATCCCTAACCCTCTATATCTCTCCAAATCGCTGTATCCTTAGTAACCGTCCTTAATACAAAAATCCCTTTATTTCCTCAGCTATAATGCTAGGAGTTTACCGGCGGATTTGATATCAGGCGTAGGAAATGATTAATGGGATTTGAATTTGAAAGGATTACGTGAATTTAACGGAATTAACAAGGATTTCGTGGGAGATTTAAGGATTAATCGAAGATATCTCCTGATATCCGTCCTTATCCTAATCCGCAATACATCAATTCCCTTGAATAATTCCCCTCCCTCGATTAATTCCCCATGCTAGAGTTTGGTTAAAGCAATAATTCCTCACCCCCAAATACCCTACTTCACGTTCAAATGCCAAAACTCGAATAATTCCCCTCCCTTGATCCATCATGGGGTACATTATATAGGAATATATTAAGGGAATGTCTTGAATATTAGTCACTTTTATCTCTGAATTCGGGAGGATATTATATACACCTGTTTATAAAAAATATTTAGTTAGGCCGAAACTCAAATAATTGCCCCTTTTCAAAAAAAATTATCCCCTCCAGCTAAAGGTTGAAACAATAATTACCCAGGGTAATCATTCGATCATTATTGTATGTCCAATTTATTCGTAAAATCAAAATTTTATTTCAACTTTATTAAAATTAATATTTGTCCCAAATATTAATTGGGGACAAATTAATATTCTGGAGCTGTCCGAGACCAAAATTTTTCCAAGACTCAAGACCCAAGACAAAATTTTTTCCAAGACCAAGACTCAAGACCAAGACCAAAACTCCAAGACTCAAGACTAAAAATCAAGACCAAATTTTTAAATCCCATAGGTCAAATTTTTGGTTTATTTTTTGTTATTTTGATACGATCAGTCAACTTCAGCACAATTATCTATAATTTCGAAAAATTTATGCGAAATTCAAAGAATTTCGGGGAATTTATTCGTGTGGAAAATCAATAAAATAGGTTATTATTTCAGAGGATTTGGGTGGATTAACGGGATATTAGTGATATCAAAGGATTAAGAGGGATTGCCGTGGGATTTAGTAATTATGAGGGATGTCGTGGGATTTTACGTCTGGAACGCCAAGGTAAAGCCAAAATTTTGGCGATACCCAAAGTTAGCCCCCCCCCCCCCCATTCGAAATTGACCCCCTGGCTACGCCCTTGGATTAAGGAGGATATCGAGGTTTAAAGGGGAATTTAAGTGGATTATGAGGGATCAAAAGGAATAGTATGAAGTTGGGGGACCTGGGTGATTAGGTGATGGTGGCTGCTGATATCCATCCTTTATTTTATCCCTATCTTTTTGCGCGAAAATTTTGGGAATTATGGAGGCCGAGAAGCCAAAAATCTTCTTTTTCTGCGCCGCAGGCAAAAATTTTGAGAATTTTGGAAGGCCGTATGCCAAAAAAATTCACTTTTTCAGCGCCGCAGGCGAAAATTTTTTGAATTTTGGGACTCAAGAAGCCAGATTTCTTCCATTTTCTGCGCCGCAGGCGAAAATTTTGAGGATTTTGGATGGCCAAGCACTAGGTCCAAAAAGGCCAAAAAAACCAAGACCAAAAAATAAAACCAAGACAAGACCAAGACAAACACTCCAAGACCAAGACCGAAAAAAAACCAAGAAAAGTCTTGGTTCCAAGACCAAGACCAAGAGTCTCGGACAGCTCTACCAAAGTCTACTTCCAAAATTGACGGTATTATTTACCTCCATATTACTAAGCACATTAACATATACAGGAGAGGCCACAATAAAATATCCATCAATTAACAATTTGAGTCTATCAGCTCTGTTTAAAAAATTTCCCTCCCACCAATCTTTTGGCCAAAACCTTTGCAGAAAATTTACTTTAACGTCGCTCACAAATTTTAGCCAAACATAATAATTGGTTATTTGAAATTTCAAGTCAATGTGCGCTCCAACATCGAACAAATTAGTTCCGACATCTTTCTCTAGTTTTACTTTAGACTGAATTAAAAAAGCTTTAGGATAAGAGAATCATGGCATAAACTTTTCGGACCCGAATTGTGCGGAAATAAATTTTCGGAAACTAAAACTCGCCACTTATATATGTAAAAAATATAATTTAAGAAATATTTAATTTTCCCAAACTTTGCTGTTTTGTCAATAGTTAGATTTTAATTTTATTAATGAAGACACCAAGTACTTTGTAACTTCAACTAGACCTTTTTTCCGTTTTTCAAACCAGCTTGTAAATCTTAAACAAAAAATAGGTAATGGGAAGGGGTGCTGGCAGTGAAATAAATTAGTGCCATTAAAAATCGTACCATATAAAGAAATTTTATTTGACTGCCACCAAGTTCTATTTTCAGAAAAGTACCAGTAAAAGTACATAATTCTAATGTGCCATTACTTCCAAAGTAATTCAACCACAATGAAAAATGGACAATTTTTTCTCCATGCCTTGTAGCACCCAATTCGTGACGAGTATTATTAGTATATCTTATAGAACAATTTTTATTATAATTTCGTTTATATCCACTAGTAGGTGTTGGTTGAATTGCATTTTTTGGTGTTGTTGGGGTTTTAAACTAAATATACATATGTATTTTGGATAAAAATAGAAGGTTTACACAACCAAAGCTTCAGTTGAACAAACACATCCTTTATAAACAAATAAATCTAAAGAACGATGGGCCGATGTTGGTAACAAATCTAAACCAAGAGCCCAAAGACCAGCATATTTATGAAGATATGCACCTTTTTCAATGTTAGAAATGTATTCATTTTTAAGTTCAGCATCATTGCCAAGAAAACTTTCAGTTGCTAAATTTACTAATCTTTAAATAATAATCAGTATTAACTTTAATGATAGTATTTATGTATACGCCATAAAGTTGTCATTAGATTATTTTAGATATTCTGCATTATAAATAATACAAAAATTTACTATAATCCTCGTCCAAATAGGCAATTGTAAATATATCCTCTTTACGGCCAAATTCTATGTCAATCGTTAGAATATCATCAAGTTCATATCTAAAATTCGTGGAATATTGGGTATAAGGATGGCGGTTCCTTGCAAATCTCCGGAACCGGAACCGATATCCGAACCGAAAATTCCCGGATATCCGAGGTTTTTTTCGGTTCCGGATACCCGGAACCGCCAACCTTAATTGGGTATGTTATTTTTAAAATTTCCCAGTAGGAACCAAAGTACTTTTTAGTTGGTAATAATGGTCAGGGGTGGATTGCGTTTGCGTTTTGCGTAAATTTGGCCAAATTAACACAATAAATAGCCCTAAATTTAAAATAGCCCTTTAATTTCAAATTTTTACCCCAAATCCGACTTTGTCGAATTTGGGTCCGGGGTTCGAAATAAACCAATTCTAAGCTCAGATTCGAACTCAGCACACTCGGTTACCTACTGGCAGACCTTAAAATTATCAAAACAGCACTTTTTTCCCATTTTTTAGGGACCTGTAAAAGTAAGGATTACTATTTTTGCGAAATATTCAAAAACGAATATAAAATAATTATGAACTTCTACAGACATTCTAACTTTTTATAAAAATGGAATTTATAAAGTAAACTAATTTTCGCATTCGAAGGATTCGATTCTAATTCGATTTTTCAATTTGTTCCGATCTCTAAAGCTTACTTTTGTTGTCTAATTGACAATGAAATTGTTGTTAAGAATTTGGAAATCTCATGTGTCTTATTTTTGTAAAAAGTTATGTACTCAGTTTTAATCATAATTCCATGCCAAATGGTCGATGCAGGCTGTCCTAATGAACATAAATGTTTGTTTTTTGCTTCTTCACAGAATTCTTTACGTTTTTGTTCACATTTAAAGGTAACATTGTTCTTTAAAAGTGAAAGATTACTCAAGACACTTGGTTCAATGTGTAACAAACAACTTTATTATTCAACATTTTTCTTAATCTTTTGAAATGCGAAATTTTAAGCATTTATTTCATATCCTATAGTTAACTTAAAGAATAAAACTGTTAGCATACTTATTGTTAGTGTGAAATTAAAGATTTAGTAAAATAAATAGACTAATTTATTCACATATTTTCCTTCACGAAGGCGGTAAGGTATTGATGCAATAGTACCATTTTGTGTATTATTCCCATTCAACTGACTCGGGTAACAAATTAACAATCTAAATAGTTTATTCAAAAACTTTTTCATTATTTTTTATTTACTCGTCACATAAATAAAATACATGCATTTTGAAGATTAGACCATAAGATCCATGATCCCGTTGTCCAGGGCGTAGCATGCATTGGTCCGAATTAAGATATGGAATAGAATGATGTGTGTTGACCGTGTCAGTTAGTAAAACGCTTAATTTAGTGATTATTACCTAAAAAATTATCGTGATGGATTTGAAATTTTCAAGGAGCCCACCCCATTTAGTCATAAAATTTCAAAAATTTTCAAGAAAATAAATTTCAAAAAAAGAATAAATAAAGTAGAGCAAATTTAAAATTTCCAGCCATTCCTTCAATTTCGAGAAACGAAAAAGCAACGTAAGGCAACAAAAAACGCGGAACGACCAAAACACAGTCAAAAAATTATTTAAAAATTATGTATATATAATTTTTAAAATCAGAATATCCTTGATCTATGTGTACTTGTTTAATGACGAAAAAAGCAAGGAGAAGGAAAATAGAATGGTGGAAGAATCATGCAAACATTAATAGTGATTAAATTGTGTAATAATAGTTATGTATAAAAAAATAAAAATAAATCTGACATACTATCCGTTATTGTTCTCTTGTTTATCATCTTGCTCGGCAAAAACATAATAAAGAAATAAAATACAAATAAATTCTTTTAATAACATTTCTATTAAATAAATATTTTAAATTAAAAAAAAACAAACTAAAATTATTAAATAAATATTCCTATATAGAGGCAATAAATCAGACATCTGATCCAATATTCACAAAATTTTTGCTGAGAAAAAGGGAAGAAAAAATGAGGGCCGATAACAAGAAAGTACCAAATATTTACATAAATCAAAATGGAAATAAGGCTTTTTTCAGTTATTAATTTTTTATTTCTATTTTCTCAAGTCTCCCATCTTTTCTCACTTCTTATTCTTTTACCCGTGTTTTGGAGTATATAGCCGGAACCGTAGGAATTAAAAACATGGCCCGACTTTAGGCATTTCAAATTCTTGTTTTTGGCTCCGGTGCTTTCGAAATCAACTCCTGCTAGCATACCAGAACTTGTTATAACGTACATTCCCAACATCCCAACTTTACACCCCAATTACTATTGAATATTTAACTAAATATTTTAAAATAATTATTATTATACATATATTTACATATAATAGATTCTAAAAATATGAAAAATGATTATATCATCCACTACAGGCAAAATTTAAGTTACTGATGACTAATTGGAAAATAATTTAATATATTAATTTAAATAATTTAATATAAAATAATTTAATATATTTCCTTTTTACAAAACTAATAAATTATGATTCATTTAACAATTGACAGATTTTAATGGATTAAGAATGATTTTACGATATAACGGGGACTATTTTGAAGCGATTTTGTAATTCGAAGTGAAATAGAGGGATTATGGAGGATATAAGGGGATTTGGAGAGATATCGACGATTTTGGAAGGATTAAGAGTGATAAAATTAAAATGATTAAAAAGAAATGAAGTGATTAACAGTGATTTGAAGCCGTGATATCCGAAGATTTGTGATTTAAAGGATGTCGTGAATTGCAAGAGATTGATTTGAAGGTATTAAGGGGAATTTTGAAAGAGTAATAGGTATATCGGAGAAATTCCCCAATATTTTTGGCTCCCTGATTCATAATTAAAAAATTCGGCGAATTTTTTAATCCTGATTTGTTAGAAAATTTCTATGAAATTTTTTGATTATCTATTGCAATCTTACCAAAAATTCCAGCAAATTTGTCACTAAACCCCGAAAAAACTTTAAAAAATGACACGAGCACATAATTATGAATCAGAGCACATTCTTTTTCATTTTTAATTTTCTTTTCCTATTTTCATCTCTAAGTTTTTAAGATTAAAAACTTTTCGGTCCGTCCCCGTACACCGACCACTGTTCCCAAAAGATTTTTCAGAAAAATTGAAAACTCATTTACTTTGTCAGTATCATTTCTTAAAGGAAATTGAAATGAAATATTAAAATTCTAAAATTCTGTTTGTATCCTTGTGGTTTAGTGGTCATGGTTAGACTTTTAAACATTATTTCTAAATATTAACCGAGTTAGTTACCTATATACATATATTTTTTTTATATTTTTCCTTATAAAAGTAAATAATTTTAAGCTTTAGATTTTAATTTTGATATTGTAATTTTATTTTTAAATATCATTAAACTAAAAATTAAAAATTACATATCATTAAAAAATATCATTAAAATTCTATTCATTTTATTTTAAAATTATCACCTGTGGCGCTAAAAATGATCAATTCTGGCTCTTTAGCAATCCGAAATTTTAAAAATTACGGCCAGCTGTGCAAGAAAAAGTAAGAAGTTTGATTTTTAGAATTTTCAACTAAAACCGATCATCAGGACCCGATCAATCCTGATTTCCGAATTCATCTGAGTCAGCTTGATTGATCTGAGTTCGCCTTTCTTTATTCTCTTAGCCGTCAGGCGAAAATTTTCTGAAATTTATAGGCCAAAACGCCAGATTTTTCCATTTTTAGCGCCGCAGGCTTCTTAGTTTTTTCTCTTTTTTCGGAAGGTGATTAATGGGATTAAGTGAGATCAAGAGGAATATCGAGAAATATCGGAGGTCTCCTGATATCCTCCTTAATTCTCGAATTAAAAATGTTAAATAGATATAGGGATTAAATAGGATATTCACCTGTGATCTATCTTTGCTTCTTTACATTAGCACCGCAAACGAAAATAGTTGATAATTTATTCTATCGGCTCTGAAATATTGGAGATTTAAAGACTAAATTATTTTAGGGATATCGAGGGATTTGGGGAAACATAGTATGAAATTTATATGAAATCTGAGGATAAAAGGGAATACGTAGATTTAGAGGGATTAAGGAGGGGAGATTAGGGATCTGGACTGATATCGGAAATATTAGACAATTTAAAAAATATTGATGGATTAATAATTGTGTTATGGAATACCTCCATGTTCTCGTAATCAATCTAAAGCCTTCTTAATCCTCCAAATTCCTCAATATTCCTCCTTATCTCTGAATAATCATCTTAATCCCCCGATATCTACCCTGATCCTTTATATCGCTATAAATAATATAGATATTTTGACATTTTATTACAAGACAGTATTAAATTTGATTAAAATTTTAAGGCAATTTATATTTCTAATTCTTAATTTAAATATTTTAATATGCAAAAAATTATATTTTTAATTTTATTTATAAATATGTTTATTGTTTTAATTAATATGGAAATAATTAGAGGTACTAAATTATATTTAAAAATTTAAATGTATTTTAAACCGGGCAGTATTCTAATAGAGTGAAAGTTAATCAAGAAATTTCCACCTAAAAACGAAATTATAGAGCAAATGCTTGTTGCGCAGTTTTTCATTAAAAATTTTTCATTCTGCGCGAGTATTGAAATAAAAAGTAGCGATTAAGATTTTAACCACTAAAAAATAATGCCCCGAAGAACCGAGTACTTTTCAGTTAGCGGTAATTCTTGCGTTCGTACCCCCCCCCCTTTTTTTTCCTTCCTCAAAGTATTAAAAAATGGTCAGTCAGTCTTAGGATATAGAATTCGTCGAGCTGTGTCGAATAACACCAAAATCAACCCACGTTCTTAACTTTGGCCGAGATATAGACAGAAACCCTGCGCAAAGCGAAAGGTTTTGAAAAAAGCGTATGCTTACACAAAAGGATTACTTTATGTCATAACTTTGTCAAATCTTGTTCAATTACATTGATTTTGATGTCATTCGAATCGGCTCGACAAGCTCTTTCGAATGAGCTATTATTTGTTTAATCGAATTTTTAGCCCAAAAAATGAGCTTGGTCCACCCTTTTATTTTTTAATTTTCGAGGGTCTGTATCTCGGCCCAAGGTTAAGACCTGGGGTTGATTTTGGTGTCATTCGACGCAACTCTACGAGTTCTATAAGCCAAGACTGACTGACCATTTTTTGATACTTTGAGGAAGGAAAAAAGGGGGGTACGAACGCAAGAATTACCCAGTTAGCTTCTTCTAATCAGTTTTCAGAAAAGGGAGGATTTGAAGACTTTTAATCTACCAAAAATTGAATAAAATATTCCTCGGCACTAAAAACTTTTTGTTAGAATTTTTTGATTCCTCAATAATTTTTCCTTAATATATGTATGTACGGACTGGGAGGGTTCCGTGCCGCGAGTTCCGTGCCGCGGATTCCGTGACTTCCCAGTTCCGTGACCTCCCAGTTCCGTGACTTCCCCCCAATAATATAATTATGTTTTCTAATAAAATATTTAACCAAAACTTGGTTGTGGCGTGCTGGATATCCATCCCACGGCTGTTCCGATGCTTAACAAGGTTCCAAACTTAACAAGATCAGGAATTTTTGTTTTATTTTTCAGGTTTTAATTTTTTAAATTTTTAGTTAATATTTCTAATTTTTTTAAATTTTCTTTTTTATGTTTAGTCAAATCTTGTTTAATGTGTGCAGAACTCTATTTATCCTTTTTTGATAAATTTTTGTGTATCTGACTCGTTTTTTATTAAAATTTTGTTCCCTGAAGAAAAAAAGTCAAGACCAAGACTCCCCTTAAGCCCGAGAAAGTCCAAGAAAAGCCTGGAGTAAAAACTCGGCTACCTTTTTTCATGTTCTTTAGATCGTAGAAAGTAAGAAAAACTAAAAAATTTACGAGAAACCCTTGTTTATTATTTAAATAATTAGTACGGAAACGTCCCTTTTACAACGGTCACGGAACTGGGAGGTCACGGAACTGGGAAGTCACGGAATCCGCGGCACGGAAACCGCGGCACGGAACTCGCGGCACGGAAACCGCGGCACGGAACTCGCGGCACGGAAAGGTACCCCACCGATGTATGTATAATAAAATATCTAAAAATAGGAAATGATGATAAATGGATAGTGCGAATAAAGAGATTTTTGGATAAAGGAAGCTGCGAACTAGAATGCAAGAATGGAAGATTCTCTAGTAAAGTTTTAATTATAAGGGATAGGATTTTTAAGCATAAACTTTTTTTTCTCAATTATGTTGAGAGCTCTTATAAGCTCTTATTTTTGAATATTTTAAGTCTACAGAGATTTACATATTATCACAAATTTCCTATCCTTCTAACCTTATTTTCCTTTGATCCATTTCTCCTTTTTTGGATAAAGAAGGAAAGTACAAAAATAAAATGATGACGGATAATGTGCTAGTTCCTTTTTTCGTAAAAATGTGATTTTTTACCGAAAATTCTTATTAAGTAAAAAATTAAAAAGTTTCAAAAAATTTAAGTATAGAATAGTTTTTGAGAAAATGACGATTTTTGAACATTTTTGTTTTGTTAATGTAATTTCTGAAATGCAATTAGAAATTCTGTATTTTTGCCTTTTTGCATCATAATTTTACGAATTTTGGCATATTATAAAACCTATTTAGATACTTAGTTTAAGGTTTTTACAACCTAAAAATCCTATCCTTATTAATTAATAACAGTATATTTTTAATTCATGTTTAGAGAATTGTAAATGTAGACAAACTAAACGAAGAAAGATTTTGAATAATAAAAATTATAATATTTAATTTAATAATGTAAATAATAATATGTATTTTGTATAATATTTAATCATTATGATTATATTTAAAAAATTATCTTGTATGTAAATATTTTGAAAAAAATATTACTCATCTTGTAATATGGTACAGAACGAAATGTCGCGCGGCCATAATGTCGCCAAGCCATAACTTGGTAAAAAATTTCTGGCCCTTATCAATTTTGGTACCAATCTCTTTAGCTCGGTGAGAGGAATCGTTTAATACTAAATTTGGAAAGATTCGGAAATCTTAAAGCAAGTTATGGCTCGGCGACATTATGGCCGCGCGACATTTCGGGCGTGTCCCCTTCTAATATGTATGTATCAACAGAATTTTTATACTTTTTATCAAAAACTTTTATAGAAAAACTTGTAATTTCCTCCTGTGTGCTTTTGTGTAGGCCTGGCAATAAAAAGGGTTGGGGTATTTTTATTTTTTTAAGAGGTGGGGGACGATTCAGTATTTGAGGCATATTTTGGCGGGTACAGCCCAAAACGGCGCGCGTCCATAACGGCGCAAAGCCAGGTCTCTCAACAAAAAATGCCTGGCCCTTAACAATTTGGTATCAATCTCCTTAGCTCGATGAGAGGACTCGTTTGACACTAAATTTGATAAGATTAGAAAATCTTGAAGCAAGTTATGGCTTTGCGCCGTTATGGCCGCGCGCCGTTTTGGCCGTGTCCCTATTTTGGCCCATAACTTTTTTGACTCCTAACCGGTTTAGATAATTATTATATCAACGAAAGCTCTAAAAGTGGGGATTTTATACTTAGAAGGATCTGTCAACAATCTCTATTTTATTTATTTTTAGAATATTTTTTTTATAAAAATGAGTACCTTCTTTAGCAATATAAAATCAACTATAGCCAATGTAGAAAATAAAATTGCTTCGTTTAACAAAAAGGAAGAAGAATGTGAAATACAAAAATTGGAAGAAAATGTTGAGAAAATGACTGAAGAAAATGAAGAAATTAAAAAAGAGGGAGGAGGAGGGGAAGAAAAGAGTTCTTCTAAACCTTCACTTTTTGCTAGTATTTTTTTAAATTTTTTAAAATTAGAAAAAAATTTTTATTTAAAGATAAAATGTTTGGAATGGCTATTAAAGCTTCAACAAAAATACAAGAAGAAGCGAAGAATTTTACACCATTGGTTTTTTAAATTAATTTTTTTAAATATTGGGAAGGGTTGAAATTTATTACGGGTGGAAGCTAACTCGAGGAATTCCAAATCATGGAACAGACAGGTCACGAAACGACCAAATCACGGAATATTTAAAAATCAGAATTTTTCAGAAGTTTTTTAAAATATTTTAATTTTTAAATTAACAGTATTCGATTTTTCAAAAATTCCGATTTTTAAAATATTCCATGTTTTGGTAATTCCGTGACTTGTCGTTCTGTGACATAATTTTTTCTTATTTATTTTTTAATTAGGGGGTGTTCACAGCCGCTTTTAAAACCCTAATTTTCTGTTTCTATTTGTACTAGGACTTTTTTTTTCGTCCAGACTCTTCGAGTAAATTATCAAACTTGTATTTTCCATTCAACAATGTGGAGCTTTTCCGTCTCTCATATTTTCTTTAATCCTTCCCAAAAATTGATTCCTTTAACTGTCGGATTAGAGGGAAAATGTTGAAGAACAGTTCCCTCTAAATTCCCCCCCCCCCCCCCCATAATTTTTATTTAATTTCAGAAAATTATTGGAAATTTTGAAAAAGAAAGACAAAAATTTATTGACGAGTTAGAATCTGAAAAAAGAACAAAAATAGAAGACTCAAGTCAATTATGTCTTTTACTCGACAATTTAGAAGCAAAGAGGCACATTATTTCGATTTCAAGTGTAAGAAGTTTTTTGAAGTTTTAAGGGGATTTTTGAGGATTTCTGAAATATTTTTTTTTAATTGGGGGGTTTATTTTTGTTAAAAACACGGCTCTATCTTAGGACATGCGTCCCATGGACATTTATGCGTCCCATGAAAGTTTATGCGTCCCATGAACTTTTATGCGTCCCAAAAATAGTATATGCGTCCCATGAATGTATATACGTCCCAAAAATAGTATAAGCGTCCCTTCAAAGTATATGCGTCCCAAAATTAATATAAGCGTAAAACAATTGTAAAAACATTTTTTAATTTTATTAATGACAATAAATATTTTGGCCCTAGTCTAGTTTATGCGTCCAATGAACTTTTATGCGACCAATGAAAAGTTTATGCGTCCAATTAAAAGAAAATTGGATTTTTCTTGGTATTGCAAAGTAGGGCATGGTTCCAAAGCATTTATTCATGTTCGGGACCTACGCCCACTGGGTCTGAGTTCATTGCTTACACTATTTCTCGAAATTTCTGAAAGTTACAATTGTTTTTCAGAAATTTTTAAAAATTGGCTATAACTTTCAGAAATTTCGAGAGATAGAGTAAGGAAAGGTCCGAGACCCAGTGGGCGTAGGTCCTGAACATGAAGAAATGTTTTGGAACCATACCCTAGCTTTGCAATACCAAGAAAAATCCAATTGTTTTTTGATTGGACTCATAAAGTTTGATTGGACGCATAAAAGTTCATTGGACGCATATAAATAATTACTCTATCATATTAAAATAAAAATTTTATTCTTTTTTAATTTGCTCGTTGTCCCTTGAGCAAGGTAACATATAAAATATTTAATTTTCATTAATACATTTAAAAAATGTTGTTTTGCGGTTATATTATTTTGGGACGTATATGCAATTTTTGGGACGTATATACATTCATGGGACGCATATACTATTTTTGGGACGCATAAACTTTCATGGGACGCATAAAAGTTCATGGGACGCATAAACTTTCATGGGACGCATAAATGTCCATGGGACGCATGTCCTAAGATAGAGCCAAAAACACTTAATTTTCGAAAAATAGTACAGGAAAAATTAATTACCCTGAGCGGGTTCGAACCCTTTACCAATTCCTCCCAGAAAAATCAATTTATCCCACTTAACCAAAAAGTATATTTTTTGTTTAAAGGACACAAAAAACTTTACTGAGGACCTGCCAATTTCTTCTGATATTGGAATTGAAGTTGAGGAGATTAAAACAAACGCTAAAGAATTTTTTAAGTTGGATCCTCGTTTAGAAGATGTTCGGTTTGAATTGGTGCCAAAAAGGTTTTTTTAAATTAAAAAAAATTTTTTTTATTTTTTCTATAAAAACAGAAAAATTCTAAAAATTTAATCTCATCAAATAAACAAAACTTTATAATTTTCAGAATCACAGAAGCAAAATTCTGGCAAAATTATGCCTATAAATTATCTCTAGTGAAGAAAGTACTGGGGGACAAACCGCCTGTTGTTGAACCAAAAACAGCCCAAAATACTCAAGAAGAGGCTAAAACAAGTGCAATAGATGGAAAAGAGCAAATAAAAGGTATATTTGAATTTTTAAAATTTTTATTGGGGATTTTGGCAAAAAATTGATTTTTTGGTTAAGTGGGATAAGTGAAAATTTTTTGAGAAAATTGACGTGGGTTCGACACCGTTCAGTGAAAATTAATTTAAAAATTAATTAATTTTAGAATCGACAACAAATTTGGAACAAGAAGAGGACGACTCATTAGAAAAAGATTTATTTGAGGATTTTGATGAATTTGAAGTTGTCAATGGAAATTGTGGTAATGGAGGAAAGAAGGAAGAAGACGAAAATAAATTAATTGTGGATGATGAATTAAATGATGAGATTAATGCTTTATTGGAAGGTGATAAATAAATTAAATTTATTTATTTTTTTGGGGGGCTTGTACTATAATACAGTGCTCCACATAACTATACTTCCACCCCTATTTTCGTGTTTTCTCCAATTTAAACCCAAAATTTTTTTAAATGATCGTTTAAATATTGTCCTCAGTTAATTAAAAGACTAATAAAAAATGAATTTTTAATTTTGGTTTAAAATTTCTAGAGTTATAAATATTTTGTCGGAAAACACCTCCACATAACTATACTTCCACTTCCGAAAAAATTATTTCCACCATTAGGAAAAATCCATAAAAATTCCAGCAAACTTATATACTTATATTACAAAAAAATAAAAAGAAACTAGGCCAATATCTTTATCCTAAGACGAGATCCTGATACCCCGAAAATCAACGTAAAACAGGGGTAAGCCTCTTTGAAAAATATTTTCGACCCCCTATAGATTATTTTGAATTTTCATTTTGGGCTCATTTGAAAGCCCTTGAAATTTGCTATAAGATAGATTTCAACTCATAATCCAGAAAAAATTTATCTTTGAGAAATAATGAGTTTAGTTTGTAAATTACATTTTTGTCACTTTTTGGGGGGCGTTTGATTGATTTTTATGACATGCAAGTTTATCACATTAGGTCTTACATGTGAATTTTTTTCGGAAAATAAAATTAATGCTATCTTGTAGCAAATTTCAAGGGCTCTCAAATAAGCCCAAAATAAAATTTTTATTTTACCAGTAAGGGGTCGAAAATATTTTTCAAAGAGGCTTACCCCTGTTTTACGTTGATTTTCGGGGTATCAGGATCTCGTCTTAGGATAAAGATATTGGCCTAGTTTCTTTTTATTTTTTTGTAATATAAGTATATAAGTTTGCTGGAATTTTTATGGATTTTTCCTAATGGTGGAAATAATTTTTTCGGAAGTGGAAGTATAGTTATGTGGAGGTGTTTTCCGACAAAATATTTATAACTCTAGAAATTTTAAACCAAAATTAAAAATTCATTTTTTATTAGTCTTTTAATTAACTGAGGACAATATTTAAACGATCATTTAAAAAAATTTTGGGTTTAAATTGGAAAAAACACGAAAATAGGGGTGGAAGTATAGTTATGTGGAGCACTGTATAACAAAAATTTTTTGGTTGTAGATTTTTTAAACATATTTTTTAAAAACATCCCTTTCTCTGTGACTATAAAAACATAGATTATATTTATTTTTTTCTTGGTTTTTTATTAATATACATACCTAAAAATTGGGAAATTTTTTGAGATTGAAAGGAGGAAAGAATATTGGAAAAAGTTAATTTCCTAAAAATCCGCATATTTTGTCCGCAAATATGTCCTGAAAGCTGGATCTAGACCTTGATTTTTTCTGGTTCGAGTCAAGGCATTTTTCAGTGTTTTCACGGCATTTTCAAACGACTCAGGGTCAGGAATCTGGTCAATGTCCTCGGTCAAAGTCAATTTTTTAAAATTTCCACTCTCTAATAAATCGAAAAAACTAATAAAACTCGAACTTAAAAATTGCAATTTATCTCCCCTTAAAATTAATTTAATCCATATTATAAATTTAAAATAAACACATTTTTAAAATAAATTGAAAAATAATAAAAAACTTGAAAAAATAAATTGGTCAACATCTTCCCTCATTTTCCTCTTTTTTCTTCTTTCTTCCCTCCTCTCCTCAAAAATCCTCATCATTTTTGTTCAACCATACTAACATCAACTTCTTTTGTAGAATTATTTATACAACTTATAATTTTTATATCTTCAATACTATTTGATGAACCATTTTCTCCATTATCACCACCACCACAATTCCCTCCTCCTCCCCCACAATTATTATTAAATCCCCCCATAGATTTAGGGAAAAATACTTCTTTATAAAATGAATTATTGTGTGTTGAACTTATATGTTGTAATAAAGACCAACTATTTGGGCATTCTTGATTACATGTAGAACATAATAATGCATCTGGTTCTCCATCTATTAAAGAAAATTTAAAGAAAAATTTAAAGGAATTTTTTGGGGATTTTCTGGGGATGTTTTGGTAAGATTTTGGGGTTGGGATTTTACAAGAGGATGTTCTGCAACGACGAAAAATGAAGGAGAGAATGGATTTTTCAGGGAGAGGAGGGAGGGGACTTGTGGAAATATTCCACGACGACGTTAGGGGGAAGAGGAGAGAATGGATTTTTGGGAATGTTTTGGTAGCAATTTTGGGGTTGGGATTTTATAGGGAATGTTCCATAACAACGAAAAATGAGAGGAAAAAATGGATTTTTTAACAGGAAGGGGGAATTATTGAGATTGTTCGACGACGACGTTAAGAGAAGAAGGGAATGGATCATCCCCAAGTGAAATTTTCAAAGAGGCATGGAGTCAACACGAGTTTGTCAGAATGAATAGGAGTTTTAAAAAACCATATTAACTTCCCCCAATTTTCAGTAACCAAGAACACCCTTTAATTTCCCCAAATAATACTTTAAAAATTATTTTAAAAAATCCAAACCAGGCTTAGGAATTTTACATGGATGTTTGCGATGTTCAACAAATTCAGCCAAATCTTTGGTAACCATACGACAAACTCCGCAAATTAATATGTCATCAAAACCAACTGAAAAAATTTTCGTTACAATTTTTAAGGTGAATACAGGAGTGGGAGGGGATATGTAAAATTAAAAAAATTTAGTCGTTTTCCCTTGGTTAAGATAAGAAAAATGTGGATTGTTTCAATTTAAGGAAAGTGATGGGAGGGCTAAGAAAAAGTCAAATTGGGTTTTCTAAAATTTCATAGATCGGGTTTTCAGGGTTCGGGTCGTCAAAAAGACAGGGATTCGACTCACGGATTTTGGATAAAACGTCTGATTCGATTTCAAATACCAACAAAGGCAGTCCCCAAAATTAAAAAATTTAGAAGAAACCGTGTGGTTGTACACTAGCCAAATCTGTGTATTCCAAATTTTCAGCAATATTTCTGTTTGAAGTATTGTAGTCGACTTTAATTCTTTTTGTTTGGGCACCCCCAGAAGGTGGTAAAGGTTGTGGCTGGTTTTGATTTCGTTTTCTAAAAAAGAAAAAAGTTTAAATAAAAAAATAAAATTTAAATAAAATCCCCAACTTTTGTTATAAAAATTCGTTAAAAAATTTTCAAAAAAATTTCAAAGAAAAAAACAAACCCCATCCCCTTTGCTACTCCAATACCAGGAGTAGTGCTAACTGTCATGGGCTTGCCAGCAAAGCCGGTTATAGCAAGTTTGCAATCTTCACAAAAATGAAAAATAACAAAATAAAAATTCTGAAAAAAAATAAAAAAATAGGACAAACTGTCTGAAAATTAAAAATTCTAAAAAATCACATTTTAAGAAATTTTTCGAATCATTTAAACCCCAAAAAGAGAAAATAAAAACTAACTAGTATAAAATTCCTGAAAATAAAAAATTATTTAAAAAAAAATTTAAGTGGAAAGATAGAGAAAATATGGAATATACAAAAAAATTAAATATTAAAATAAATTTAATACAAAATTGAACCCAAGAAAGGTTAAGCCCTGTTAAACAGAGCTTTAAAAAATAGGACTCAAGAAAAGGTTAAGCCCAACCGAAATGGAAAAGTAGAAAAAAATTAGATTTGTAAAGTCAAAAAATCTGTGAGACCAAAAATAACAATAAATTAACAATGGTCCAAGGAAGGAAATACCAAAAAAATTCACTAAAATCCAAAAATCGCGCAGATGCTCTACTCCATGTAAATGTAAAATCAAACGTTGTAGCAACGTTTAAAAAAAATTTTAAAAATCATTTTAAAGTCCATCAACTCACCGAACATTTAAGTGGGAGCAGGCCAACTTTCGCGAGCCCAACTTATCGCAGAGCCCTCGTATGGTTCGATGCGCCTCGACGAGCTGGATTGAACCATATCAGGAGGCCGGATTCGACAATTCTGAACGTAGTTATAGCTCTGCGGTAAGTTGGGGTGTACTCAATTTAAGTAAAAGAAAAGCTTTTAGAAATCAAAATTTCGATAAAAGGGAAGCCAGCCCCTCAAAAATAAAAGAAAAATTCCAAAAAAATACCCAAAGGACTTCCATGCCAGTTATATCCATTTAAAGCAGTCACAGCCAAATCAGCCTCACTTCCATGCGAAAATTGAACAAAAGCATAGCCTTTAAAGACGGTTACACCAATAAGAGTTCCATAAGAGCGAAACAATTGAATAATTTCCTCTCTGCCAACTTTTGGGTTCATATTGCCGACAAAGACGCGGGATCTTAAAAATTGGAAGGAATGAGAAGGATGACATGAGGACATGTCGGGACGGGCATATCGGGGATATTTCAAATTCAAACAATTACCCTATTGATTTCAGTCACAAAAGCACTGGGTCTTACATTAGAAATAAGGTTGGCGGATACGGATCCGACAAAAGGCCAATATCCAGAAATTTTCGGTTCGGATCCGGACATCCGAAGATTTCTAACTATCCGTCAACCTTACTTGGAAGTACATTGTCCTACTGAGGAAAAGTTTTTTTTATTTTTAGAACATTGTTTAATTCTGACAAACAATCCCGAAATATGTCCGCCCACCAGAAAGAAAATAAAAATTTAAACCTGAGAAGCACAGGATCCTTTGAATTTGTTTCATAGCTAATAGTTGCTCTGCAAATTTGAAATTGAAATAAAGGAAAAATAAATGACTAGAACCGATCGATTGAATTATCTTTTAAGATTTTGTGGGTTTTATGAACAATAGTCTTTATAAATGTCCTATAAAAGTTTAGATTAATTGGGCATTCGGAACTTTGGACCGAAAAAAATTAGGCGGTTTTATAATTCCTTAACAGAGTAAATCTGAAAAATGCCCCAAGAATTAACAAAAAAATATCAGCAAAATTGGAGGAAAGCCCTATATTAAATCCAAATTACCCCAAAAAGTACCAAAACAAAAACTAACGTAGATAGACTGCCATAACCAGAATAGCCTGTCCCAAAAGAGCTATATGCTAAAAAAAGATATATTTTATTTTAATAAAAAAATAAGGCAAACCGTTTGTGGTGTACATAATATAGGAAAGCTTCAAAAATATATGTTGAAATTAAACACAAATTAAATTTAGTTGAACACTAAAAACAATTAAAAATAACAAAGAAAATAAAACAACAAAAAATCAAAACAAGCAACTAAAAAATAGAGGAAATGTGGAAAAAGTCCATTTTTCGTGTACCCTTTTGTCTTTTTTTCCCAAAAGTACCATTTTGTCGTTCCACGGAGAAACTTTATTTCTCTCGCTAAAGTTTCTCAAAAAATATAAACACAACGCCAATTTTGTAAAATTTGTTTATAAATTTAAAAGAAAATTTGAATATTACCGTAAGTTTAAGCTGTTTTTATAATTTGTTGTGTTTTACAACCGTTTAAGTATTTTTTGTAACATTTGAAAGCTCTTGACAAGCAGATTTTTTTCTATCAGGAATGATTTTACCCGAATATTCAATTAAAAGTTAAAAACATATAAAACAATTAAAATCATATTTCCTCAGGCCAACGTACCACAGAGATATAAAGCAATAACTTCGTTCCTTAGTATGGTTCGATGCATCTCGACGAGCTGAATTGAGTCATAGCATGCGTACCGGATTCGACCATTTTGAACGACGTTATAGCTCTGCGGTACGTTGGGGTGTACCCCACTTATCAAGCTCTAACATGGATATCCGGATTGGACTAAACTAAAGAGGAAAAACAAACTAGAAATTTAGAGCTTTATAAGAATTACTCTAAAACTTAAAAAAAATTTTTTAAATAAAAAAATTATTTCATCAATTATCCAGCTTTTCCTTTTTTCCAAAAATATTTTCTTCTCTAAAAATCTCCCAAGATTTGAAGATTTATTCAAATAAAGGTGTAAATATATTGTGAAGAGTCTTCTCTATTATTACAAATAAAATATTGTTACGCATTTAAGCTTTTGTTGTTTTTTTAAATCAAGACAATTAATATGTAGTATATAAATGTGGATGAGTGGGGAAAAATGAAACATTAAAAAATTCTGGAAGGATTTGAAGGGCTATATTAAGAAGAAAAAGTTTGCCATGCGCTTAATAGTAAATATTTATTTTGTAAAACAAATTAACAAAATTTCACAACAAATTGTTCATTTCATTTATTTTTCCGAATTTTGTTTGTTTTTAATCAACAATGTGTGTAAACAAAAATTACAATGTTTTAATGTTTATGGATGTTTGTAAATTGTTTATGGATGTTTGTAAATTGTTTATGGATGTTTGTAAATTGTTTATGGATGTTTGTAAATTGTTTATGGATGTTTGTAAATTGTTTATGGATGTTTGTAAATTGTTTATGGATGTTTGTAAATTGTTTATGGATGTTTGTAAATTGTTTATGGATGTTTGTAAATTGTTTATGGATGTTTGTAAATTGTTTATGGATGTTTGTAAATTGTTTATGGATGTTTGTAAATTGTTTATGGATGTTTGTAAATTGTTTGTGACTTGTTTTTAACTTGTTTTTGTGTGTTTATGTTATTTTTCCTAATGTTTTGATTGTAGATGTTTTGATTAGATGTTTTGATCCTGTATATTTGGTTCATGTTTTGACTCCGTATGTTTGTTTTAAGTTTTATGTTGTTTCAATGTTTTATGATGTTTTTTGTGTTAGTAAAACAAACTTCGATGTTTTGTTGATTTGTATTATTCTTTCGCGAAAAACATGTTTGTAACTCTCCAAAAGAACAAAACATTTTAAGAGAGAAATATGACAAGTTTGGCTATGTTGGTTTAATATGTTTTATTTGATGTTTTTTTAGATGTTTTGCTTGATGTTTTTATCTTTTGTTTTTCAAATTTTCCATGTTTTTCTAATTATTATTTTATTTTTATGTTTTATTTTCACAACTTTATTTACTAAAATTTATTTATTTTTATTATTTTACCCAAAAATTCTTTTCCTTTGTTTTTTTTTCTAATTTCATTTTCACAACATAATCGCGCACACCCGCTATATTATTGGTGCTACTTTAACCAACTTTTAACTGAAACTAAAAAAAATTTTTTTACTAAATTTTCTACCACAATCAATTTGTGCACAAACAACTTTCTCTCTCTCTCCCTTTTCTCCATTCCTTTCCAGGAACAATTTTCTGCGCAAAATTGTTGTGATGATAAAAATGATAAAAAAAATCGCGATTGTTTCAAGACAATCCAAAATATCAATAAATATATAAAAAGGCTTTTAGTAATGTTGATCTAGTGGAGAAGGAGCTCTGACTGATTATATATTGGATTGTTGTTGTTATCGGCTTTTTAGCTAGTTTAGTAGCAGCAACATTCCTTTCATTTTCTTTTCTTTGTCTTTTAGTTAAAGATCTGCTGCAAAATTAGAAGGAAAAGGAGAGAGAGAAAGTTGTTTTAACTAAAATCCAGTAATGATAAAATATAAAAATTATAAAAAGTTGTGTTTATTACGTAGAAGATTTAAATAGAAGTGGTCACTAAAAAGGAGAAATAGTGATAAAAAAATAAAAATATTATGGAAAAGAAATAGAACAAATAATTGGTTTGGGGTTGTAATTGTACTTTTCCGGTTGTATTAATCTTCCGGAAAATACAAAGTTATAAACAAATTCTGATTTTAAATTCTGATATGTGTTTTCATTGTGTTTCTATAAAATTCTGATTTTTATTTTTTGTTTTCCGGATATAATTAATACATAAACTTTCCGGAAAACATAAACTTTCTTGGTAATAAAACAAATTCTGATTTATTAAAATTCTGATTTTTCATTATTTCTAGTTGTATTTATCTTCCAGAAATACTAAGTTTTAAACAAATTCTGATTAGCTAGTGGAAGTGTGTTTTCATTGTTTTTATAAAATTCTGCTTTTAATTTTGAGTTTCAGAAATAGGTAATATATTTACAGAGTAGTACTATTTTAATTCTGATTTGAATAAAATTCTGAATATTTTGTGTTTAACTTGTAAAATAAGAGTTTTAAATTTCGGGTTGTATTTTACAGTTGAATATAAATATTTTTTGGTTATATTTCTGATTATATACAATATGTAGTGTATATTTCTGGTTGAATATATTATTATAATTAATATATTTAAGTTTAATGCTTTATCTTTTAAAAAAATTCAATTAGTAAATTAATTCAAATCATCCTTCATCTTTTCTCCGATCGCGCTTTCTCTCCTCTCTCAATCAGCCGAAAACCTTCTCTCTTCCCGTTATATATTTTTATATTATTTTTACTCCTCCTAGTAACTTTTTGGGGGGAGTTGTCAGCAATTAAACCAAAAATAAAAATTCTTTTCTTATTCTACTTTTTCTACCATTTAAAGTAAAAAAGCTACACAATTACTTGCATCAACACCCACCCTAAAGCAATCCAACTCAATCGTCAAGGTTGGCCTCGGGGCGAGCTTCAGGCACAGCCAAAGGCGAGGCAAACAACACCGCTAAAGTGTTTGGGGCGGAGTTTTTGTGTGTTGTGAAGACATGAGCAGCAGCAATAGCAGTGGCGTCAATGTATTATTAAATTCTGATTTTAATTGTAAACACGGAAATAGAAAGTTTTAATTTTCCGGAAAATACAATTTCCGGAAAACACAGTTTTAATTTACTGGAGAATAAATTTCCGGAAAACACAAAGTTTCAAACAAATTCTGATTATTTTACGGAATTGTATTTTTAATTCTGATTTAATTTTAAATCATTTCTGATTTAAAATTCTGATTTTTTATTTTTATTTTTAATTATTCTGATTTTGGAATAAATTTTTTTGTATGATTTCTGAATATGAAAGATAAATTCTGGTTCTAAAATAAAAATTAATTATTAATTCCAAATAAATCTCATTTTAATGAGTTCTGATTTATTTTACAATAAGTAATATCAATTTATTAAGCGAGACAATCTTCGTATCGGTCCAAGCAGTAGCAACGCTTCTGGATTTTCCTCCTTGTTAGCCCAGCGTCAAAGATTTGATTCAGTTAATAATACTAATTTGAGTCAATATCAACAACTACAACAACAACTTTCATCTTCTACCTCACATTTTCAGGCAAATGCTGGGCCTTCTTATCCCTTTGGGGCAACAGCTTATGCTTCGGATTATCATGTAAAAATTATTTCTTATACGGTTCTTATATCAACGGTTCTTTCTTCGTCAGATTCAGGCAAAATAAGAAATTATTTGAACTAACACAATAGAAAACTAATCAAAAAAATTTTTAGGGAGGCTATCCATCTAATATGTTTGCTTCTACAACCCCTCTCGCCCAACATCACCCCCAACTTCAACAAAACCAACAACAACAACAATTATTACAATTACGCCAATCTTCCTCTCATAATTATATTCAAACACAACAACAACAACAACATTCCTCTTCTTCTCTTAATTATGCGATGATGACAACATTGGAATCTGGAGGGCACAACAATTTATTAACTCAACAAAATCAAACTTGTTCATTAGCACAGTTTCAACAAATACAACAACAGACAAATAGATCGATTGATGGGGTAAGTTTTTGTTTGTTTGTTTAAAAACACTCGAATAAATACAGTAAAACAAAAACATTAGAAACAAAAACATCAGAAAACAAAACATATTAAAACACGAAACATCAAAACAAATATAGCAAAAACACACAAAAAGTTTGAACCACAAAACATTAAAATAAAAACATCAAAACAAAACAAACATTAAAAAACATTTGTAAAACACAAACTCAAAACTTTAATTAAATCAAAACATCTTGAAAAACATTATTCTAAACAAAACATTTTCATTTTAAAGATGGATTTGTTGATGGTTCTTCCACAGTCGTTTCAATCTACTTCTGGAGGTGTAGAAAAAATTGAAGAGGAAGGGGTACTTTTTTTAAATAAATTTGAGAAAAAATTATTTTTAGAGCTCTGACGATTCACAACAAGACAATAGAGGATTTCTAATAAAATCATCTTCAATTTCCTCAGACAGTTCTAGCGTTATTCGCAAAGGTATTAAACAACCTAGAAATTCATTAACAACTAGACACCTTCTTGGAATAGTTCCTCCGAATAATCATTCAATAGCTACACCTATCTGCCCTTCTATTGCAATGTCTTCAACATTGGGAAGTTCTTTAATTTCAACAAATTCAATTCCTTCCCCTGGAATGCCACCACTAAACCCAATGGAAACATTTTGTACAGTGCCTGGTTTGTTTTAGTAAATTAAAACTATTAAAGTTGCAAAAGAAAATGGTAAAATATTAGGTCGGGTCATAATTAGTGTCGCTTTTTTTCGGTTAAATTTTTAGGGGTGTTATTTTACAAATATTATTTTTTCTTACTAACCAACATAAAGATCTGAATCTACTCTTCATTTTAAAACCAGGTTTAGGTATATATCTGTGATTTTCATAAAGTTATGATTTTTTTAACTTCACTACCTCGTAGTGAAATTCTCAAGCATTTGCACCATGAATTATAAATTACCAAAAATGGAACATGAGAAACAAAAAATCTTAATGATCTAGTCAATGGGATCGTTGTCTATGCTAGACAGCAAAGAATAGGATTCAAACTTTACTAGGAAGGCCGTGTGACTCTCATAAGCAAACATGGTCGAGGGAGAAGGCTGTCATTAAGAAAACGGTCCTGCTCGGCCGGCTTAGACGGAATCCGGTAATTTCTACTGCTGAATTATCGAGGGATATCCACTCTTTACGTATGGCCACGGGTGACTGAAAAAACGCTAACCAAAAAATACCTAACCAAAAATTCTGAAATACTGAGATCCTTTAGAACATAGTCTAACAAATGATTCGAAATAAAAATAAAAAAATTTTTCTGAAAACTTAATTTAAAAACTCCAAAAAATCCAAATTAAAAAAGCGACACTAATTATGACCCGACCTAATATTAGTCAAAACATTGTTAAGTTTAGCTAAAACAATAAAAACATTAAAAACAAAACAAATATTTACAAAAATAAAACATCTGTAAAACATTTATGTTTTAGATGTTTTGAAAAGTTTCAAATATCATGTAAATTTACAAAACATTAATCAAAACATCTAAAAACTTTATTATTCCAAGAAACTTTAATTTAAGAACAACAAAACAATAATCAAAACAAACATTTAAAAAAATAAAAAAAATTGTAAAACATTTGTAAAACATTTCCAAAACTGTTAAATTTACCAAAGCATTAATCAAAACATCTAAAAACATTAGATTTAACAGCAACAAAACTTTGAGCAAAACAAACATTTTTTTGGAATAAAACATTTTGTAAAAACATTTTATTTGTAAAACATTTAATATTGTAAACCTTATTAAAAACACAAAAATATTCCCATAAAGGTCGTCTTTCCTTGCTAAGTTCAACACCAAAATATCGAGTTACCGTTGGAGAAATTCACAGACGAATTAATCCTCCAGAGTGTTTAAATGCTTCTGTACTTGGTGGTATTTTACGTCGGTAAGATTAAAAAATTTTTCTCTTAATAATTAATTATATTTGTAGAGCAAAATCGAAAGACGGAGGAAAATCTCTTCGAGATCAACTAAAAATATATGGATTAGTTCTTCCAGCTGGAAGGCGAAAAACAGCGAATGTAAAAAAATTAATAGGAAAATATTTTAAACATTTATTAATTAACAGGTTTCTACATTGACGGCATTGGTGGAATATGAAGCATACAACTTGGCAAAAGATTTGTTTGTTTTAATTTTTTCTAAAACATTAAGAACATAAAGTAAAACATTAAAACTCTAATAAACAAAACTTTAATATGTAAATGTTTAACTGAAAATACAAACAACAAAACATTGTATGTTTATAACATAAAGAATATAAATGTTTTGCAAAACATCAAACATTTTTTATTAAAAACATTACCTATAACATAAATGTTCGAAAACATTTGTAAAATATCAAAAACAAAACTGATCAAAACATTAATAAAAACATCAATAAAACATATAAAAACACGCATTCTCTAAAACATTTTTCTAAACACAGCTTTCTCTAAAACATTGCTCTATCCATTTTTCCCTCCTTCCTTACAGAATATGTGTAAAACATTTGTAAAAATCAAAAACATAACCTAAATTAAAACTTAAATAAAACCCCAATCTAAACATTAATTATTATTTAGTCATTCGCTATGCGAGAATGAGTTCCCAGCTAAACAAATAGCTGATTACATGTCTTTCAAATCCCAATCATCCGAAATACAAAGAAGAAAACAAATGTTGGCAATTTCACGACAAACACTTTCAGAATTAATGGAACTTTTAAGACAAGACAGAAGTCCGGTATGCCAGGGAACTGCTTGCAGGCCAGTCCTTGACCATAGTATACAACAACATTTAACACATTTTTCTATGGTAGGTTTTATGTTTTTTTTTGGAAAATTTTAATTGCATGTTTTTAAGTGTTTGTAAAAGTTTTTAAGTTTATAATGAAATTAAAGTTTGTTTAGATTGGATGTTTGTTAGAATGTTCGGATATTTATTTGTTAGGATGTTTGTTTAAACATCTGTTGTGATGTCTCTAAGTTTGTAAAAAGTTTGTTGGATGTTGTTGTGATGTTTGTTTGATGTTTTGTTGTGATGTTTGTTTCTTAATATTTCAAACTTATTTTTGTGTTGTTTACGTTATGTTTTCAGAATTTTTGTTTAAATAATTTGTTTTGTTGATTCTTTTGATATTTACAATTTTTAATGTGTTGTTTTTATTAATTATTCTTTAAATATTCTCCCCTTTCTTTAAGGTCACCCACGGTTTTGGCACTCCAGCAATTCTTGCGGCTTTGACTGCAGTGATGAGTTGGCTTAATGAATCGGAGAAGAATTTATTACAACAACAATCAACTGAAACAAAATAATTTTAAGAAGAATTTCATTTTTAATTTTATTTATGTAATCTTTGAGAAATAAATTAAATTACCTAGATAATAATTGAAACTTGGATATTTTTTTTATCCTTTAGAGGTTTCCCCAAAAATTTAAATTTGACGTTTCAGACCCTCTATAATCTAATTTAAAAATTTTATACTTAGATAGCTCTCTAATTAAATAATTCCAGACTCCAATACCCATTTGATCCGGTCATTCAGATAATATCAAAAATTAATTCCAAAACTCTCGAATATATTTATCTCATTTATTCCCAATTAAAGATCCTCGAAGAAAAAGAGGGAAAAAAGCTTCTTCCTCACATCCTGAGGTCTTTTCGGACATTTGTTTTTGAAAGGTTTTTAAAATGATTATAATCTTCTCTCTCTTTCAGCCCACCCCCAAATAAAATAAATTTATTAAACACACGTATTTCTTCTTTGTAATTATTCACTCAAATTGATTCTTAAATGACTATTATTATATTTTTAGAAATAAATTCCAAATAGCATCACAAATATTTTGCTTTAATTTAACCTTTAATTTAGACTTTAGCTCTAAAGTGACTCTAACTACATATAAGTGTCCCTTCCTAGAATATTATAGCTATGTATATTTCCGGATTGAATTTTGTCTTTTGTTTTTATAGAATATATGTATATTTATTTCATTAAAACTTACCGAAAACATACCAGGAATAAAATTGGATAATTATAAACTTTCTGGAAAAATTAGCACTTTTATTATTAGAACTTTATTTATTTATATATTTCTAGATATTTCCCAAAATTTTCCAAAAAAACTTTTTTTCCCAAAATTTTTATTTTATTTTTTTATTTTCCTTTTAAACTACTTTATTTATTTAATACAAACATTCCCCTCCCCATTTTCGCACCTTTTCCCATTTCTCTCAAAATATCCCATCAAATTCGTCCCCATTTTTTGCTTTTCCTTTTAACATTTAAAAATGTAAATGAAAAATATAAAACCTCCTTTTTTTATTTTTATTCTTTCCGATTTGATTTTTAATATTATTTTCACATTTATTTTATTTAAAAAGGACATTGATGTCTGGAAATATAAGGAATAATTTTTCTCCCATCGAACTGTTTTTAAAGTTCGAGACTCTAATAACCTCTATATTTACATTATATATATAATTCAGAGTAGGGTTCATTTTTAAAAAAGTCCCTGGCCCGAAGGGCCAGAGATACAGGGCTGGGAGTTTGACATTCGGGGGGTAGTTTGGTCCGGGCTATTCAGGAAAAATACGAAATTCAAAAAATAATTACCCCCTGGTACCTAAATCGCAAAAGTGCCGGGGCTATCTTTTTTATGGCTGGAGATAGCGGAAAACGTCTGCTGGGAGGATGATGTACGGCTATTAGGAGATGTCGAATGCAAAAAACTCAAAGTCGAAATTCGGACCTGAAGGGTACTTATGCCTGCGCAAATGATTATACCCCCGGGGCTTTAGACTCTAACTCCTTTTAGAAATAAGTTATAGGTCTGAAACTTTTTGCATTCGGGTTTTGATATGATGGGGCATTTGGGAAAAATAGGGATTTGTCAAAATAATTGCCCCATGGTACCTATATTGATTAGGTACCGGGGGTATCTCCGGAACGGTTGGGGATAGCGAAAAACTTTTGCTGGCAGGATTTTAAGTTGGAATGAGCTGATATAGACTGGAAAAAACCCGAAGTCGAAATTCGGATTTGAAGGGTAGATATGCCTGCGCAAAAATCCCAAAATCCCCGTTTCGCGAATTTCGAAATTTACGAAACTGATCGACAATTCACGTGTGATATGTCAAATGAAAGCTCTAAGTGAGCTGAGTATGGATAAATTTATTTTAAATTTTTTAGACCACTTTGGACCAAGTTACAGTAGCCCAAAGTTTCAAAATTCGGGCTTGTAAAATTGGGAAGGGTGGCTCCAATTGTCAAAAGTGAATTGAAACCCGTTTTCGATATCCTATGTTGTAGAGCGTCTCCTGGCGGTTCGTAAAAGGTATAATATGTCGGGGGTCCGGTTGAGTCTGAAAAAGTTATGGCCAATGTTCGCAAATGTCACGAAACTTTTTTGGAGAGAATTGGATGGGTTTTCCTTTATAAAATAGTACTAAAAATTAGAAATTTTTAGAGCCGAAAAAATTTCGGAAAAATTCGAAATTGGAGGTGTAGGGGTCGAATTTCGAAAAACCCAAAAATTTTCGGTTTTTCTAAATTTTTTCGGGATTTTTGCCTGCTGTTCGGATCGAATGTATTTTTCCTAAATTAATCAGATTTTTCTACATATTTTGGGATTTTAAAATTTTCAAAAAAGGTATACTTCGGCCGAGATATGATTTTTTGAAAATTTCAGGGATTTTTTCTGGCTGAAATTTCAGACCCAAAAAATATTTTTTTCAAAATGGATATAAATATGGCAAATGAGATATCATTCGAAAGCTCTCATCGAGCAGGATATAAAAATATTTTTTTCGAATTTTTTCGGTACATTTTGAAGAAAGTACAGAGGTTCGAAAATTTGTGGGGGTGATTACCGTACTCGGAAAATTATGGTAGGGAGAGAGGAAAAATGATTGACAGGTGAAGTTGATGGCAGAGAGGCGAAATTTTTCTCCGTCTCTGACCATGCGGGGCAACACGTAGAAGAGTTTAAAGGTGAATTTTGTATATGTGGGAAAATTTAGTGGAGAGATAAGCTGGATCCTGTTATGGATCCGAAGCAGAGATGCTTCGTGAAGCAGTTTCTGCTTCGAAATTTTGTTTTGGATTGGACTCATTCTTCTAATTGAAAGGATGAGTCCAATCATACTTCTAATTGAAAGGATGAGTCCAATCATCCTTCTATTTGAAAGGATGAGTCCAATCATCCTTATTTTTGAAAGGATTAGTCCAATCATCCTTCTAATTGAAGGGAAGACGAGGGCCGAAGGCCCGAAGTGATTCTAAGTGGAAGGAGGAGTCCACTCGAAGGGAAGACGAGGGCCGAAGGCCCGAAATGACTCTAAGTGGAAGGATGAGTCCCAATGGGGGGGGGGGGGGAAGACGAGGGCCGAAGGCCCGAAGTGACTCTAAGTGGAAGGATGAGTCCAATCGAAGGGAAGACGAGGGCCGAAGGCCCGAAGTGACTCTAAGTGGAAGGAAGAGTCCAATCGAGGGGAAGACGAGGGCCGAAGGCCCGAAGTGATGCTAAGTGGAAGGAAGAGTCCAATCGAGGGGAAGACGAGGGCCGAAGGCCCGAAGTGACTCTAAGTGGAAGGATGAGTCCAATCGATTGGAAGACGAGGGCCGAAGGCCCGAAGTGACTCTAAGAGGAAGGCCGAGTCCAATCGAGGTGAAGACGAGGGCCGAAGGCCCGAGCTTTCATTACATCTAAAAGGCAGAGCAATAGTCAAAGGCAGAGCATAGATCCTCCGAGGCCGAAGGCCGAGGAGTAGGCGAGGGCCGAAGGCCCGAGCTTTCATTACATCTAAAAGGCAGAGCTATAGTCAAAGGCAGAGGCCGAAGGCCGAGGAGTAGGCGAGGGCCGAAGGCCCGAGCTTTCATTACATCTAAAAGGCAGAGCTATAGTCAAAGGCAGAGCATAGTTCCTCCGAGGCCGAAGGCCGAGGAGTAGGCGAGGGCCGAAGGCCCGAGATTTCAACCCATCTAAAAGGCAGAGCAATAAAAGTCAGAGCAAGCCGAGGAGTAGGCGAGGGCCGAAGGCCCGAGCTTTAATTACATCTAAAAGGCAGAGCAATTGTCAAAGGTTTCCTTCGGCCCGCCGGCCGAGGAACCGGCGGGCCGAAGGCCCGCCGGTTGGCGAGGGCCGAAGGCCCGAGCTTTCATTACATCTAAAAGGCAGAGCAATTGGGAAGGAAGAGTCCAATCGAAGGGAAGACGAGGGCCGAAGGCCCGAAGTGAATCTAATTGAAAGGATGAGTCCAATCGAGGGGTAGACGAGGGCCGAAGGCCCGAAGTGACTCTAAGTGGAAGGATGAGTCCAATCGAAGGGAAGACGAGGGCCGAAGGCCCGAAGTGACTCTAAGTGGAAGGAAGAGTCCAATCGAGGGGAAGACGAGGGCCGAAGGCCCGAAGTGATGCTAAGTGGAAGGAAGAGTCCAATCGAGGGGAAGACGAGGGCCGAAGGCCCGAAGTGACTCTAAGTGGAAGGATGAGTCCAATCGATTGGAAGACGAGGGCCGAAGGCCCGAAGTGACTCTAAGAGGAAGGCCGAGTCCAATCGAGGTGAAGACGAGGGCCGAAGGCCCGAGCTTTCATTACATCTAAAAGGCAGAGCAATAGTCAAAGGCAGAGCATAGATCCTCCGAGGCCGAAGGCCGAGGAGTAGGCGAGGGCCGAAGGCCCGAGCTTTCATTACATCTAAAAGGCAGAGCTATAGTCAAAGGCAGAGGCCGAAGGCCGAGGAGTAGGCGAGGGCCGAAGGCCCGAGCTTTCATTACATCTAAAAGGCAGAGCTATAGTCAAAGGCAGAGCATAGTTCCTCCGAGGCCGAAGGCCGAGGAGTAGGCGAGGGCCGAAGGCCCGAGATTTCAACCCATCTAAAAGGCAGAGCAATAAAAGTCAGAGCAAGCCGAGGAGTAGGCGAGGGCCGAAGGCCCGAGCTTTAATTACATCTAAAAGGCAGAGCAATTGTCAAAGGTTTCCTTCGGCCCGCCGGCCGAGGAACCGGCGGGCCGAAGGCCCGCCGGTTGGCGAGGGCCGAAGGCCCGAGCTTTCATTACATCTAAAAGGCAGAGCAATTGGGAAGGAAGAGTCCAATCGAAGGGAAGACGAGGGCCGAAGGCCCGAAGTGAATCTAATTGAAAGGATGAGTCCAATCGAGGGGTAGACGAGGGCCGAAGGCCCGAAGTGACTCTAAGTGGAAGGGTGAGTCCAATCGGAGGGAAGACGAGGGCCGAAGGCCCGAAGTGACTCTAAGTGGAAGGAAGAGTCCAATCGAGGGGAAGACGAGGGCCGAAGGCCCGAAGTGAATCTAA